ACTCACACCTGCGCGCCAGAAAAGAAGATTAATTTACAGAGTCAAAATTTGCAAGARAAACATAATGAGCTATAATAGCAAGGCTTGTTTGAAAGCCAACCTGCAAAAGTCATGAGACCTACCGTTGTACTTTTCGCCGAATATAATTGTCTTTTTAGATGGTTTTAATGTTAAAACATTTAATTGTTAATAAAAACTTTTTTGCTATCTTTCTTTCTCCTTTTACTTACATAAGTTCCTCCCTTTTTGCCAAATAATGTTCGTTTCTTCATTTTTGGTAATAATTCTCTATTTCATTTTACTGATTGATTGATCGTCCGGCTGAACAAACACAGGCCTGGCAGAATCTAAACAAAAGCTGGCATACACGACTTCAGYGACCATTCTACACTATCTTTCAATACATGTGTATCAACGCACAAACATCTGAACATCCAAAATTTATAACGAACAATAACCGACATTAAACACAGAAGATAAGGCAGCTCTGTTAGCAAGGTTTTCGACCGCTTTCTCCATGGAGTGGAATCCACTTTTCTCCAAACCGGAGCAGGTACCGACGATATCAAGGTACATATAAAGTATAGTTTTTAAGAAAAATCAATGGCACAAATACTTGATTCAGGGTGGCAAACAAATCGCTATTAAAGCAACAAAAAAAATCGTCCCAAAATATGCATAAAGTAGAATAGAGTCTATACATCCTATAATCAGTATTCCAATTTTTTTAGTCCTAATTTTCAAACGCATTATAAGTTAGGAAGATAATTTTCCGCATTTTAATTCAATGAACTAATTGATTTATTTTTCAACTCATAAAGCGATGTGAATTTATCGCATAACTTGAAAATTTCCGACTGTTTTCTGCGTTAAAATCGTTCACTGTTTATTTCGTTATAAACTTGTTCACAATAAAAGAAAGTACAATAGTAATTACCGTGGCAAGGTTCGTTTATAGATAATGATATCAGTAAGGACTTAGATTTAAATCTAGGAAGCAAAAGATTTAATTCAAAGAAAGTATCAAAGGTTCGAATTAAGTCATTACGTTAACTAACTTCTAATGAAGATAGCTCTCACAACAAGGCTATCAAAAGAAAAGCAATTATTTCTGTAAATTAAGGGAAGTTTTTTAATCCTATGCTCTTTTCATTGGATAATTTTGTTCCAAAACCAGAAAWTATCTAATTAACTTATTTTATAAATGCTCAACAATTTTTTGTTTTTGTTTGTTCCTGAGCGCCTCAAACCTCTTCATTTTTAGCCATATTCTATTTTTCTTCTTATTTGTAATTTTTCCTATCTATTTTCAAAGCAATGCTAGATATTCATACGAGCAAACATTACCCAAATTACTGTCGTTCTTGCTTTTAKTCATAAAACGCCTTTTGTTCATGTTTATTAATGTTTACAAATATTGGAATTACCATCATTATGGATTTTTTTTTCGGTCGTCGTTACTAAGATTTTGGAGCCTTTGTTTGTGAATTCTTTCCTTTTTTTCTTTCTTTCTCTTTTGAAAACGTTAGAAGAAAAGCCTAAACTAAACTGGCAAACATTTTCTATTTCTCGCTTTGTGGTTTCACTACTTAAATCTACTTAAGAAATAAATTGCAGCGATGAGAAGTTTTCTAGTAATTTTGTCTTGGAGTAAATTAATCAAACAAGAGCTAGTTGAAATCTGTCATGACCACTCACGTTGACTTTTTCTCTTTTATTTTTCATTTCAGATCTCAAGCGATGTTTTGTTTTGTACTGGCATTGATTCCTTGCGTCATCAGTGGAAGCAACATGACAGGTTATCCAATATCTGCTTTAGCTTAATGATTTGATGGAATTTTTTTTTCATTATTAGGAATCACACCAAAAATATTGTACTTACAGGTTCGAATTTTGTTTAGAGAAAATATGATAGCGACGACAGACTTAACTGAAGAGCATAGTTTGTCAGCAATTTTTTAATACGGTCTTGAAGGGGGGGAAGTTTATGCAAGCAGATCAGTTTGCATGAATGAGAACAATTTCAGCAGAAAAAAAATACGTCACTTTTTCCAATACCACTARCGAAATACAAAAGGAAAGTGAAAAAAAAAACACCTGATTTTCATGCCGTCCTAAAAGHGTAATAAAACCGCGGATGTAACATAAACGTGTAATATTAATATTGATATTTCTCAACACTAAGGATATTATTTCATCCTTCCTGTCRTGGCTAGCTTGGTTCTCTGTTTTATGAGTATGCAGCTACCAAAAAAAACGTGTTTTAAAAAAAGAACAAAAGAAATCTAGAAAAACGGCAGAAGCATATTGATTTTTTATACTGGTGCATTCAAAATTGAAAAATTAAGCTTAATTAAGTCGGTCTGTCTGTCTGCCTGTTTGCAGTTCATGCGTGCACCTGTCTATATGTCTGTCTGTCTTCCTGTTCAAGCAATTRACTTAGCCTCTTTTGTCGCTTATGATACGAAGGGGCCACGAAAAACAAAAGACTTAGCCCTAGCAGTAGGGTTATCTTACAGTTGTCACTAAAAACTCAATCCGCACACTCTCGTTCGGACGGAAGAGACCAACACTCAGGGTCTTAAAGTAACTGGGGAGAAGGTGCTGCCAAAGTAATTTCATCTACAAATCAACAAGGACTTAATAAACGTTGGCCCCGTCTGTCTTCACTATATAACCTTGTATAAGACGGACGCAAAAAGACCCACTGAAGACGCTGGTGACGACYATCTTCAGTGCCCGTGAAACACTATACAGGGCCCACAGTAATTGCCYATGCTGTTGTGGTGTGGTTCCTCACGGGGAAATCTAACTAAATAAATAAATAAATACCAAAAGACTGAATTCATTCCTTATCCTGTGACACGAAAATTCGACTTCTTATGAATTAGGAAAACTCATTCTAACAATTATTTGCTAGACTGATACCCAAGTAAAACTGAGCTACTATTGCCGCAACCTACTTTTAAACCAGTGGAGCTGAGCTTTTAAATGGTTGCCTGTAAAGGCCCTTACGTATGGCCCAACATGGGTCAAATATTGTCAACCTTTGTCAAGGAATTACGGTCATCTTCGTTCCCAGGGTTCTCTCAAATATATAGAAAAYAGAACCTCTAAAAATGTACGATTGACATTGGTTTTTGAGTCGAACAAACAAATAAAAAACTCCTAGGCTCTCTCCTCTAAGTATTTGACATTTTAGATTTGCCCTTGACGTTATTGTATTATTGTAATAGGTGACTGYAATTTTGATGACATGTCCACATGTTCCTGGACAAACGTAAATAGCAAAGATCAGTTYGACTGGACTTTAAGAAAAGGCTCTACACCTAGTTTTATGACAGGCCCTAATGGGGACCATACTACCGGTACGTAATATAAGACGTGTACTTTGCAAGATCCCGCGAAGGGTTTTTGCTATAATGCTTGTTTTTATAGCTTGTTTTTTATAACTTTTTTAATATAACTTTTATTTTTGTATCAACCAACATGGCCGCCGTGTCTGTAAGTCGATTTTTAAAAAAAGACCCTTAACTTACGAATGAGACTTGCATGACAAGGTCAGGTGCCCCAATCCCTTAAATCGAAGTGGTTTTGTATAAATAGAACGAAAGAAATGAAAAAATCACCTACATATCAGTAATAAGATAATAATATTCTGACGATGACCTCAGTCAGACTTTAAAAAATTTTAGTAAAATTTATTGTCTGACTCGGAAATTCCACGTTGAATTTCACGAGAAAGCCGATATTTTCATCTACACCTACATTTTATGTAGTCAGTAAAATCGTTAGAAATCACACCAACTTTTTTTATTAATCAAACAAATACCTTAGCGTATAATGCCACGAGATAATAATAATGCATTATGAAATTGTGGCGACTATTTAATGTATGGTTGATTGGTACATCATTGTAATTTAAAGGGCAAGGCACCTACCTATACATCGAAGCATCCAGYCCACGTCGTCTTGGTGAGACTGCTCGTTTGACGAGTCCATGGATGAGGGGTCAACAGTGTATGGTCTTCTGGTATCATATGTTTGGTGAAGACATTGGACAGTTASAAGTACATGTGAACAACACACGTTCTCTTCGTCTTTTGTGGTTTAAAGCTGGTGAACAAGGYAACAAATGGTACAGAGGGCAAATTAATATTTTGGAAACTGCGGAATATCAGGTAAGCGATATATGGCAAGGACGAATATAGTAACTCTAAAATGGTACGCAATGAAGATTTGAATTAGTCTGCCTGTGGTCAAGGACAGGACGCCACAATTTATGGTTCAGACTCCCCTTAGTTACCGTTACGTAGTTAGCTACAACATCTTAGAACACAAAATTCTGATCGTGGAAAATTATTTATAAATTAAGACTGTTTCGATTGTTTGCTGTCAAGTGAAAATAAGAGTAAACTGCTTCGTAATCCTTGTAGTACTCTTTTATCTTTTTATTATCAATTTATCTTTTCAAAATTTGATATGTCACATCGTATCATAGATTGAATTCATTGGAGTCAGAGGGATCAGTTTTGGAGGAGACGTGGCCATCGACGACATCTCTTTTCATCCTCAGGCATGTCAACGTAAAGGTATGCAAACTGAGCAGAACAGACTTCTTTACCTTGGTTRTCAGCTTCCACCTTACACCACTTGTTATTCTCTTTAAGATTCTTTGTTTGTGTTGTATCCATATTCATGCGTTTTCTCTAATGCAACCATTAAACTCTTGAGAATAAGATTCTTCATTTGAGTTGTATCCATATTYGTGTGTCTATTCATGTTCAGCTATTAAACGAAGAATCTTATTCTCAATTGAATGACAAGTAGTCTGAACTGGGAAAACACTAATTACACCCAATTAAAAGGGCTTGTTTGGTCTGTCCCTTGATTTGAGGCTGTTTCTCCGAGCTCTCCGACCTTTCCTTCCTCGGTAAAAACCAAACACCCTAAATTGCATCGGCGAGAAAGTGCGCATCATTGGCGATCAACCCCAGAGGTTGGTCAATGGTTCAATACAAATAGGGCCACAAGAAATGACATGTTGTTCGTGTTTGGAGCTGAACATTAAAGGCCCGTTTTAACTATTGAATTTAACGGGTTTTCTTTGACGTCTACTCTTCAGTGGTTCTTTTAAGTCCTCCTTAACTGATTCCTTTTTCATTTTTCCAGAATTTCTTCGGCTTTATGTTTATGCAGACACGTCAAATAACGGTCTTCTGTCAAACCGAATCAGCCCGTCACCAGCTCCAGATGCCTACCAATACAGCCTTCTTTTCCCCCAACAAATGCTGCACCCAAATGATAATCTGTACATCACAAGAAAAACCAAAAGAGGACTAAGGATCTCGAAACGGGCTTTYAATTCTAAGCGTAATTTAATATTCAATGGCGAGGATTTCTTCTTCTCGTCTCAAACAAGACTTTACGCGCAGATACCAGTTTACGTGGGGACGAGTCTGACACAGCAAACTGTTTCTTTGGTTAAAACATTGAAGCAATGCAATACTCCTGCCATGGTCTGGTCCCAGCTGTTTGCTTCTTCTAAGAATATCTCATGTAAGTACTGATTTGAAATGAGACAGTTTTTTTCTGTCAGGCTGTGAACTTATCTAATAAAATGATCAAAGAATCATTGAAAGCCAATGCAAGGAGCACCAATGCACCATTTTTGAATGAGAATCAGTAAAGTTATTAGAAATATGAAAAGCATCTCAGGTTGATAAGACCGCGTATCCAAAAAAAAGTGGGGGCCATTCTCATTTATTTTATAAGGGCACTGAAATCAGGAAGACATACTGTAGGCTTGATAAGCACTTCAAAAAAAGATCTTAATCATTCCAAGCTCACCGTTCGTCTCGCTTCGATGCAAAGGCACGGCTACCTTTCAAGRTGGCGCRGGGAAYTGTGAAGRGGWCTATTAAAAAACAATTATCGATCAGCCATTCAAATCGCGAATCGATTTACTAAAAATGATAAAAGAAAGGTACGATCATTCATTCGTTCGGTTTTCGTTAATTTCCGTCTTTTGAATACTTTCATTACAAATCAGCACCTGGGAATACAAATTTGTGAACACTTCGTAATTCGGCATACAGAAAAAAAGATACGGTAGACGACCGACCCCATAACTGATTTACTAAATGTACTTTTAAAGCTTTCTTATACTCATAAAAATATTGCAGTTACTTTTTTTCTCCAACAGCACTGACACTATTATTGTTAACTTGTTTCTTCTATAACAGTAGACACATACGCAAATTAGGTCTTAGATGAGGGATCTTTATTTTATATTYTTGTTACCAGTGAATCACGCCGTTGGAATGATAGTGACACAGTCCTCCCAAGCAGCCAAGACTGCTCCTCATCTAGTGGTGGATGGCAAATTCGACACCTGTTCAAAGACTTTAGTGGTAAGSAAGATATAACAGGTTTCGTATAAGTGGGAAACATAATTTAGGTACTGACTTAAATAACTGCCAATAATTCATTCGTTCGCAAGGGGTAGGCATGGCCACAGTATAAGTTACGGTAAGGCAAAAGCACGGCTACGAATTAGCTGCATCGTTTCCCACTAATGCGAAGTAGCTTGGGAAGAGTGACTTAGCGTTGTCTGCAGTCATCATGCCAAAAAAGTTCTTGGTATCTATCAGCTCCAAGGATGTAGCCAGGGGGGTCCCCTTSGAAAATCCTGGCATTGCCCCTGAGCTCAATGAAATACATGAATCTCATTAYTGAAGGGCAAGCACCACCCCATGTTCAATCATCCATGTACATTTCTACTCAAAACTTGTCATTCAGCTGGTAAAAATTCCACACCAGACCAAAAGTGACATATACTAAAATGGTGCTCATATATCATGATTTTCTTTCCAGCAAGACAACCCTTGGTTTGAAATGAGTCTGAAAGGTTCTTCTTACATCTACAAAGTTCATGTTTCAACCCTGAGCTGTAGTCGAAGCAACAGCTTGCCAGAAATTCAAGTAACATTATCAAAGGGTAGTACAGAAGTCAGGTGCCAAACCACTGACCAACGTGCTATGAATAAAAGGTCACGTGTTTTCTTATGCCAGCCTCCGATTCGTGCACTAAAGCTTCACATCAAGCATATCGGGAACCAATCGCAGYTGTCCATTTGTGAAATTGTTGTCAATGCTGTTGGTGAGTGTTACAGCTAATAATAACAGCATTCATAATATCATATTTGCTTAAATAAAGTTAGTCACCAGAGTAACTATGAAGCTGAGACCCCTAGCCCCCTTAGCCCCCCTTAATGTTATTATGCAATCATTATATTTTAATTAGGTTAACGTTGAGCATAATGTCAAAATAGACAGTTTAGGTATTATCTGTCAAAGCCATGATGGCTTATTATTATTATTGATGCTGTATAAATATCATTTWCCGGTCTAAGTATTATTTACATTGATGATCAGATGATTTTGATAAAAAATGGACGGATAAATGCAATGCTATTTTTGGTGATGATATTAATTGTGCCAAACTTAAGAAATTTAGCTATTTGAATATTAATATTAAGATTACTTTCTATGGGTATAGAAGAAAAAAATGAAAAAAATWATTCATAAATGATGCTTGATTTAATAAAAAGCCAATGAAAAACTTCATGTTATACTGAACAAAATGATAGTTTAGCCGCCTAAAAAGCAGCCAAATGTTGCTACATATATTTCTTTGTATATAAATCCTTAATTTATTTTATTCCTATGAAGCCCAAAGGGTAGCTAATGTACTTATTTCACATTACTTGTGACTATAATTTATATTTTGGGGTGTTTGGGTATTTCTTTCTCCCTTTACTACTGATATTTTGATCATAAACTACAAATGTATGGAGCGATGTTCGATGTTGAGTGTATGACGTCACAGACTCCAAAAAATAATCGTAAAAATATCATACTTTTGTCCTGAATATCGAGAAAACACTYCATACAGTGATTATTGGACCTTTAAAGAGTATTCTTAGGAAGTTTCAGCTGAATCCAAGTTTBAGCGATTTTCGTCAGAGTAACACTTTAATGAGTGTTATCTTATTATTTTTTTAGATTCCATTAATCAGTTACGAGGCGTGCGAAGTGAGATGTGGTTTGACGTAAGCCCAGGTTCAAAGCTGTCGTTTTTCTTGAATAGCCCAAAACGACTCTCCGATCCCAGTTCTAGCAACATACTACCACAGTACCTTGCCAATGGAGGCGTTCTGGACAACTATGGGCAGAGATTGACAGCTTTTATTCAGGTGAGAGAATTTGAAGGATTTCTAGTTCATTTTCCAGGAGTTTTGCAATGGGCCGTTCCGCAAAATCACTAAGAGAAAGAGAGGTGTTAGAATTGCAAAGCTTTATTGGGTAATAGCAAACTGAGGTAGTTCTCTAAACCTCTTTTTTTTTTAATGGGGCATTATGTTAATTCCCATTTCAGACATATTACGTGTCAGTTCCCAGTGTATCGTTTCTTTGTAGTTGAACTTCAGATTGAGACTTCGCCATTCGGAACCTGCTTCTTTATTGCCCCATAATAGAGCACTTCTTTTGTTTAGAGTAGGTTTTGTTTGACTGTTTAATTYGGAAGGCCAATTTATCGTCATTATAGTCCTATGTTTTGTTTTCTTAAACCTTGTAGAAACTTGTTTCAAAGGGACGCAAGGGACGACACATTAATATGGATGCGACTCAAATAAAGAATCTTATTATCAAGAAAATGATCTAAAATGGGAAAACATTAAACCGAAGCTAAAGAAGTCGAAATATTTAGTCCTCTGGATTCTCTTTGGATTTGCCCTTTAGGGAAAAAAAAAGATTATTTCCGATATTTGAAATTATAATCGATTTGAATTTTTTTAAATTTACTTTTAAGGCTCCGTCTGTTGGGAACTATACGTTCTATGCCATGTGTGATGATCAGTGCAGAGTGTGGCTGAGGACGGTACAGAATCTTTCAGATGTTTCTTTCGTAGAAGACCTGGATACATCCGAGCAACAAAATATGAAAATAGCTGATGTTACAAGTTATACTGGATATGGTGTTTGGGACAGGTGAGATTCTCTATTTGTTCTCTCCATCTCTCCATCCCTCCATCCATTGATTCATTCTTCCCTCCATCCCTCCATCCCTCCATCCCTCCATCCCTCCATCCCTCCATCCCTCCATCCCTCTATTTCTGACCAATGATGTGCAATATTATCACCTCATGCAGGTATCCAGGGCAAGTGTCACGCGATATACCACTTGATTCCTGTAGTATGCAGATGGTCGAGGGAGTTGTCAAGGATTCTCAAGGGGCAGGCTTTTTAGGTGTTGGTTTGAGGCTCCCCACTGGAAAGCGCCTTTTACCTCTTGGTATATCTCAAATGTTCTGGCTGCTTCCAGGTATAGGCCAAAGAAAAGGTTATTTATACAATTGGTCCAAGGTTGGTGTTGCAGTTGGTGATGTGGTAAGCGGTGTGGTTGGTGGTGTATTTGAAGTTGTTGGTGGTGGTGTGGCCGATGGTGCGATTGGTTGTGRTGRTTGTGGTTGTGGTGGTCCCCTTGCTGTTGCTACTGTTGAGTTGTTCTTCGTGATGCCACGGATATCGTAGCTGCTTGTGTTGCTCTGTCTTTGCAATTATTATCACTTTCTGTTGTTGCCATAAATGCTGTTGTGTTTGCAATTCATATGCTAGCCATTTTTCTTTTGTTCCCCAGGACTTACAAAGCTCGACATCTCACTTGTCAATCCCAAACCAAAACRGCCTTCTTTCGAAGTTGGACAGTCGATAAACCTCAAATGTAAGGATGCTGGCAAGTAATGAAAAAATTACAATAACTTTACTTAGGAGCAACACATAAAGATATAAAAAATTGAGACCTTTTTTTCTGTTGCAGTGATATATCGTCTTTGCTGTCATGGTATTCTTTGTCCTACTTGTCCAAAGTCAGTCAGCCTACATATTTTCAACCGCAATCTTCTAATCAACTCCTCCTTGCATACAACATGTGAATGGTATTCCTACTCTAGCGTAATAAGGATTACATCTCCTCCTGGATTGTACGACATCAAAGTAAGCTATTGTTAATTGCGCACATTCAATATTGCACAAGTGTTTAACGTTCTTGTTGTTGCGGGGCTCATCAKTTTTGGTATTCCCGGGCTTTTTCAGCTAGTGATGAGATCTGTTTAAAAAATATTGCCAGTAAGTAAAGGGATTTATTTCAAATTCTGATGTTTTTTGAAAGGTGTCGGAAATTACAAGAAGCATAGAAGAAGCCAAAGTACTTACAAAGACATTAACACATCTTGAAATAAGAAGTAAGTAAAGATATCTTCAAAATAACACTTATCGATACCCTGAGAACCCAACTAAGGCAGATTTTTTAATCTGCTTATACACTCGATGTAGCATACACTTAACATACAGATCTTTACCGAGTGACAAAAACACATTTCATAACTTTTTATTTATTTATTTTTCTGATGTCATTTCAAGGTCTTGTTGTCTTGAACTGTTTTTATCTGCAACATGAATGTTACTGGGCTTATCATGGTATCGATGGAAGTAATGGCTGGAAAGTTAGACATAACAGCAGCTCTCAAGGTATTCTTTGCTGTTTCTTCTTAAAAGGAAGTTCAGTTGTCGAGCATTTTTGATGCGCAATCTTTGCGGGCGCACAAAAAGCTATGATAAACCRTGCGCTTTTTTCTTCGAAACTGTCGATCTTGCAAGGGCTGTAGCATAAAGGTATGAGATGCACCCGAGCCCCAATGTTTTCATTTAAGTCTATTTGGTTATTGTGAAAACATTATAATAAACCTTGGCATCAAAATGGTAAAACATCTGACTTATTCTTACAACAACTGCCAACCCGCTCTTTTTTTCTGGCCTCTTTTCTACAGAACACTAYTTCGAACTCATAGGGCGAAACTCAGCCTGGCTACACAGTGCCTCAGTAAGACCGCTACTTTTATTTCAAAGTACAGGACTTTGTTTGAMGTTTTCGTATCGTATGCCTAACGAATCTTGTAAGCTGGAAGTCTTCAATAGAAATATTTTAAAGAAAGCTCTTTTATGGAGTCTTAGAGGACTGCAAGGTATGGAATGGAAAGAAACAGCAATCTCTTGGCCAGCAGATGATACTAGCAAGGTACTTTGTTTATTTCGTAAATGTGCCAAAAGTTTGGTAAACAATGAAAGGGCATTGCCTAGAATCAAATTATGGACCCAAAGAGGCATACCTACGTAAGTGCAGTTTCATGGGCCTTCCTTATATAATTCGATGGGTTCAGTTTCACTGGGTTATGAGTCCCGTTTTTTTTCTTCTTCTTCATCCACTGTTGAATGGCGGTGGTGTCTGTGCCAAAGGCAATTCTGTATGTGCGTGTTGACATTTATTTCCTCTTTGCATCTTTAGATATTGATCGAGGGAAATTGYAATGGCAGTGGAAGCGTCGCTTTGGGAAACATTCGACTTACTACTGARAAGTGTAACACAACACCTTCTCACGCTAGACCAGGTAGTTACAAAATGCTAAATAGAAATCGAAAACTCGATATCATTTAACATCTGCACGCAAATGGTTTTAGAAAATARGGGTGTACAGACCATTTTGGGATCCGTAAAATACGTACCGCTGTGGTCCTTTATTGCAGGCACATTTAATCGGGTTTATGGCTTTAGTATCAAAATAATCTCAAATGTTAATTTAAACTAAAGTAAAGAGGCACAACTTCAGCAAATTCAGAACTTGAGTATTTAAATAGATTAATTAGCTATACTGAAATAGTTTCTTATTATGTGTATTGCGCGGCCTATTTGTAGTACATTTATTTAAGGAATAGACGTCAGTTTTGATGAAATGACGAAATGTAGTGTCAATAACTTAGAGGACATAAAAAAACTGATGTTCATTTGTTTTTTACAATAACAAAAACSATAAAAACTTCTCATTTTTAGTGATCAAGATAACCAACGGAAAGAGCGCGYGCTCGCTGACATCAGTTTATTTGTCTGTCCTCTTATTAATGTAAAATGATAACCAATAAGCGCGTTAGAAATGTGTAAGTTATTGTAAAAAAAACAATATCAACTCATTAACTTTTTTCAGGACACTCCTGCGACAACAATGAATTTCGTTGCTATAACGGGATGTGTGTCAGATCGTACTTACGATGYGATGGCGACTACGCATGCGTAGACAAGTCAGATGAAAAGGATTGTGAGTGCCGATCATCCCAGTTCAAATGCCCCAATGGMAATTGTCTAAATGTGATTGATCTATGCAATGGAGTTAAAGACTGCGATGACGGTTCGGATGAAAAAAGCTGTGGTTAGTTGATCATAGAAATTTTAGAAGAAATGCCTTTTCSTGGTTCGTTAAACMGGATGCATCATGGTCTAGGTTGGGTACAAATAAAGCAGACACTCTCTTTTTAAACATACCTACTTCAGATGATGAAAACACCTTTCCATTTTAATCGTAAAGAGAACCTCTGTTTTGCAGACACCTCTATTAAGAGAGCACCATGAAAAGTCCTGAAGGTGTCTGCTTAATAGTAAAACAACTATAAAGGGACCCTTTTTGTGTGTTAATAATAATAATAACAATAATAATAATAATAATAATAATAATAATAATAATAATAATAATAATAATAATAACAATAATAATAATAATAACAATAATAATAATAATAATAATAATAATAATAATAATAATAATAATAATAATAATAATAATAATAATAATAATCTTTATTGCACATATAAATAAATATGCTCCARGAAAACTCTCTCACACTGGTGATTTTCAAATATTTGGTGAAGTTAAAATATTTCTCGTTTATAGGARACGRCTGTGCAGACAACAAGTTCTCTTGTTTTGATGGCACTTGTATTCCATGGTCCTCTACGTGCGATGGCGTGTTGGATTGTCAAGATGGATCAGATGAACCAACCATATGTGGTCAGTATAGAGGCTTTGCACCATCACATCATGGCAGCCATGACAGAGGCACAATAATATAGTCTCTTTTCCTGGGAAACTGAATTTAGACCAGATTGCCTTTGGGAGATCCTACATAAAACTCAGTTGTTGTAATGTATCAGAAAATCTATCATATTCTGATGTCTTTCTATCTACTATATTAGGTCTGATTCATCGTATTTTTATGAATACATCACATCAACTGCTTGCTACGTAGGCTCTCCCGATTCAAATTTTCATGCCTCTTGTCATGGCTGGTATCAAACCGCTATATTTCCATGCAGCTAGTCTATATAACTTTTTCAATTTATGATGGGAGGTTCAAAATTTGCTAAAAACCTTTTCATTAATCCTTCTTCTCTTCACAGCATCGTTACGGTGTCCTTTGGATAACATTTCCTGCAATATAAATGGTACATCAGAAAAATGCCAACGGTTTAGAGGTACGTAACGACATCAACATTAGATTGTCTAATTATCTAGTTTTCAATGCTTGTTATATTACTGATAACCATGTTTTCAGAGTTATCAATCCTTAAATCCTATCTTAATTCATACTTTCTWCGGGGAGGGGAAGGGCATGCTGTACCACAGAGTGTGGTGACAGGGATGGGGGAGGGGAGGGGAGGGGGGAGGCAGCTGCCTCTCTAAGAAACAGTAAAAAAGCAGCTGTTAACCAGAGCAGAAAGATCCCACGTACACTCTTTGTCCTGACCTGCTATGACCAGAATTAAAACAAAACTACAAATATACAAATCCGTTTGAAGGACCATGTGATTTTGAAAATGGACTTTGTGGACTCAAGATTGTYGATCAACCTGGTTACAAAAAGTGGCAGTTCAACAGTGGATCAACGCCGACTATGAACACAGGGCCAAATGTTGACCATACTACACAGACTGAGAACGGTGAGCTACAAAATGTAATTTATTATTATGTAATATGATTTATTAGTCATTTTAGCGACTCAATGCATTCTTTGCTCTTCTTTGATTTTCTTATAACTGTTTCACAGTCTTAGGAATTAGAATCACTATATTAATATGTAGCTATTAAACTTGAATCAAATTCTAGTGTGGCCGGCCAATGCTTTCGAGTGATCCATCTTGATGTAATAGACCTCTTGCATTGATTTCCTAGAGGAAATGTTCTGGGGGACAAAACAATAGGCCGTCTTTTTTTATGGTTCAAGAAAATACAAGTAACAAATAGTACATTCTGCACCCTTCCACAGCTTTTCATCTACCTTGGACCCTTTGCAGCACATTAGAATGCAGCTCAATTTGGATGACATAACAATATGTTTCTAATTCTTTTTTTATTTTATTTTTTATTCTAATTTGAGCTGCTTTGACGTCTCATGCAAAGGGTCTTCAAAAAAGTTTGGTACATGTAGGAAGTAACAGTGCTCGTGTTTTCCCTAACAAAACTGAGAAACGATTTCAGATCTAAAGGAACCATTATTCTTTCAGGCAGTTATCTATACATAGAAGCATCAGATTTAAATGATGGTAACAAAGCTATACTTCAAAGTGATTGGTTAAAGTACGATGGAGTCACGTGCTTACAATTTTGGTATCACATGTGGGGACGTCACGTGGGGGATCTTAGCGTCTACGTCACAACAAATGAAACTAGCGAAAAGGTTTGGAGTAGGTCTGGCTCAGCTGGTCAAAAGTGGAGATTTGGACAAACACCGATAGATGTTGGAGGACGTACATTCAGGGTAAGTGCGCCTTAAGCTCTGAATACACCTCCTCKGCTCGGGCGTAATGTTTTTCCATTTCAGACCTCGTGTCGTTCCCTTGAGAATAAGATTGTTTGTTTCGGAGACATATCCATATTCATATCGGCTTTCTCATGCGCAGCCGTTAAAAAAACAAATTGGCAAATTAGACAAAGAAAGGATACTCTAGGGAATGATACGTGGTCTGAAGTGGGAAAACATTACGCCCGAGAAATATATCTGATCAGAGATATCCCCCCCCCCCCCCTTATCCCTTTTTTCATACTCTTGGTAGTTTCTTCTTACACTGAGAAACATGGGAGGTGTGCGCTGATGATGCACTACACATATATGGGTGAAGTTGMGTGCTGGTGTCCTTCTCTACATTATTCGTTTTTCAAAACTACACGGAAATCAGCTTCTAAATTCCTCTTTGAAACGGTTAACCGTCATGGTCATGCACATGAGTTTCTGGGCCCGGTTGCATAAAGCTCTCTTAAGATAAGAGCATCCGTAAGTATTGTTCCAAAACAATAGGCCATTGTACTAAGACAATACTCACGAGTGTTTTTAAGCTTTTTTATCTTAAGAGAGCTTTATGCAACTGGGCCCTGGCTCTGAAGACTGAGTAATTCTTCCCTGAGTGATTGATATACTGAGAAAGTGGATCTATATCGTCTGCTTATATATTTTCCTCTTTTATTGTTCAGTTTGAAATAAGGTCAACCACGGCTGATAAAGAAGGAGATGTAGCGATTGACGACATTAATCTCTTGGATGAAACCTGCGAGCGGGTTATTACACAAAGTACGCACACACTGGACCTAATGCTTTCCCTTTCCAGACCACGTGTCATGCCCTATATTATTATTTCTTCGTTTAACGGTTGCACTTGCACACTCACACCAATATGGACCATAACTCAAACAAAGAATCTTATTCTCAAGAGAATTACACATGGTCTTAAATGAGAAAACATTACGCCAAACTAGTTAGGTCTATTTGAGTAGAACATGATTAACTACAACACGTTTTATTTCACTTCGAAATCCCTTCTCAATACGATAARGACTGAAGAGAGTCTGTCATAACTAATACTGTATTTCTTTTATTTTTGTGGCTGKGTTTATCCTTAGTCAATCCAAATTGCCAATTCAAGAATGATTTCTGTCAGTGGCAAAGCAACGATGGTTGGAAAGTCGCCGACTCTCCGCCTGTCAGTTTTAGCCGCGTTCCATTTCGTAAGTACAACTAATCGGACTGAACTGAATTAGTACAATCAGCAAAGTCATCTGCTGTCTCGTTAAACACTATTACTTAACGTAAACCGCATCATGTTGCGCATCCTTGGTTATCATTAAGTGTTTTGTCAGCTTCTTCRAAATAACCAATTTGACAAACCCCTTTTCGGACTTTGTGTAATATACTTTATGAATTGTGTAATATACTTTTTTTGATATGTTATTCTCTCCTGTGCTAGAAGGGAAATTTCTCCGGGTTTTTCGGTTCTCCTCTTGCACTAAAGATCAACATGTGAATGAGTTGAGCTTTGTGTTCCTAGATGAAAACCGGTAGTGTGTGTGAGTGTAAAGTCCCTCAGTTAATGCGAATGAACAAATAAAACAGCTAGATACTTAAATAACTAGACGCATATCTGCGTGAACTCGGGCTTCATAGCAGAAAAACGGAATAATTCTTCGTGAAAACTGTCATCCTTCTGACGAAACCTTGAAAAATTCCGCCATTGCTTGAAACATGTACTTATGTGGCGCATACTACGCACGCGCATAGAACTTGCGCATGCGCTTTGAACGCAACTGCGATTTGTGACAGAACGCAAATAAAGCCCAATTTATACCTCGRGCATTTCTTTGAAAGCCCGAGTAAAAAGGYTAGTTTTACCATAAGGAGTTTCCTCAAGCGAAGTAAAAATTAACCATTGGCTTGAATTGTTTCCTTGACTAATTTTCAATCTTGTCTCAAAGATGAAGGAATTGTTCACAAAAATATCATATTCAAGGGAACACCAACAATGTATAGCCCATATTTGGATTTCCATGAAAACGGCTACRAGTGTGTACGGTTCTGGTACTACATATCTGGTTCCACCAGTGGGATAAGTCTTGGAAAGCTGAAGCTGTACATGGAAAATTCGACCTCGAAGTCACTTGTTTGGAGCACCAACAAAGTCACAAGAAACTGGGCTTACGTGCAAATACCAATAGCAGCCGTGTATAAGACAAGGGTAAGCAATATTCAAGAAGTTTTATATGCCCTCATGCAATCCTTAGATTCCAAGTAGTTGCGCGTTTCAAGCTCTAACTCAAGCCCCCTTTTGTTGATAGTTTTTGGCTAATCGAGCATACATGGTGATTACTATGTTACATAGAAATGAATTGAAAATTTCATAAAGCCAAGGTATAGCACCAGGGTATGCTGAGCAAAATATCAAGAAACAACACATTTGGTGAACGAGTTTCACTTCTACATCAATGARCGACTACCTCTGACATTGATATAGAGGCTTTTCACCATAACGTGATGGGAGCCATGAAAGGATGCAGGGACAATTGCATCTGGAATTCTAGTAACTGGAATCGGATTTACATGAAAAAGAATCCAGTTTCCTAAGGGRAAAAACCTCTATTGTTGTACTTCCTGTCATGGCTGCCATCTCGTGATGGTSCAAAGCCTCTATGACAACTTAGACAACTTAGTCTCCCACTATAGGTTTTAGTTTTGATTTACTACCACCACTTTCATATCACTGGATATAAAATGCACTGTATTATTTATTTTCTTTAAATACCATTTTTTCATGCAGTTATTGTTTGCAACGAACGAACCGTTTCTGGTTGTAAAACAACTGATTGCCTTTGACGATGTCTCTGTGATCAAAGAACATTGTCAACCTATTACGTCGATGAACGGTAAGCGAACACTTAAGTTCAAAGTTACGGAATTTTGTTATCTATAGTACAAACCGATTCTGTGAGCAGTGCAATTTTTATAATAGTTTAAAACACTCATTAATAATTCATAAGCTTATTTATCAAGTTTGATAAATAAGTTTAAAACACTCATTAATAATTCATAAGCTTATGGTCCAATTTTAACCACCATACACGTCACGTGCATGAACCTTTATACCCGATAAAGTCCTCTTCATTAGTATTCAAGTGATTTTATATAAAGACACATGTGTCTTAATATAAAGACACTTGTGATCTTTATATAAAGACCACTCGAATACTATGAGGATGACTTCATCAGGGATGAAGTATGCATCCAAGTTTAGATGAAGACATAGAGCTTCATCAAGGTCATAGTCAACCCTAAAGATCTTTGACTAACGTGCCTGTCTTTGCCTTGGCACGCAATATCCAACGTGTGGGAGCTTCTATTGAATCGCATAATTTATTACTACTATACTATGTCTATTCTTTGCGTACATATTTACGGTGTTCAACTTATCTATAGAGAAAAAATATCGCTCTGGGATCCTCACGTATACCCTACATTTCATATTCTGGCTGCGTTACCAGCGTGGTTGGTCCTTGTATCGTAGTGGTTAACACATCGGACTAGAATACCGAAGACGTGGGTTCGAATCCTGCCAAGGGCATTTGATATTTTTCTCGTATTCTCTCTATTGAATCTGGTTGCGCACGCCCGTGACGTCAAATCTCTATCGAAGTATAAAAATCCATGTTCGTGACGTGTATGGTGGCTCCAGTTGAAGCAAAATCTTATAAATTGTTCATGAGTGTTTTAAGCAGTTCAAAAAACTCGTAGATCGTGTTTTATCAGGTATAAAAGCACTCGGCTACGCCTCGTGCTTTTATACCTGATAAAACACTCCTACTCGTTTTTTAAACACTACATAAATATGGTTTCGACTAATATTCATGGAGATTATGAGCATGCGMAGACATTCTCGTGTCGTCATCTATAGCAGTAATGCTTGGTTCTCATTATCGACGTAAGCCAACGCAAGCATAAATACAAGCGCAAGTCAAGACAATGCGTTTGAGCTCGCGCCGCTTCTTTTCATAATCAGAGCAACGACAGCTTGCATCGGCTTGAGCCGGATTGCACATGCCCTATTATTTCATATGCAAAGGAACTTTACTCTATTTTCTTTCCATTTAATTTTTAAATAGAAAATTGTATTCAGCGAACGACTGCAAATGACTGTTGTGTCTTCCCCTTCGTATATAATAACAAATGTTACACGTCTTGTATTGGAGATGGTGCCGACAGGCTGTGGTGCAGTATAACGGATAACTATGATCGTGACAAGATGTGGGGAAGCTGCAGTGAAGGTGATCTTATTTACCTATATTATTGTGCTGTGGCTAGACCTTACTGAGGGGACACACTAATTGGGACCACTCGAAGAAATTTGACCAATCACGACAGAGTGAAAACGAAGGAATCAAACTTGAGTCTAACTTAAGCCAATCAGGAAAAAGCAACGAAGCCTATATATCTGAGAAAATTCTTAGACGTCATAAACAAATATGGAATTGAAAGATTGTCATTGGCTGGTGTCAATATGAAACTGATTTTTCTCTCGGCTGATTGGCTTAAGGGATTTTTTATCTTAAATTTAATGGGATCAAAGGTGGTCGTCTGCAAATGCAATTAGCATACTTTGGCTGCACAGTCTTCTAACCTAGATCAGGTTGATGATTTTCCGGTGATTACATGACATGGGAAAAGTCCAGCACCGGTTCTCAGCAGAAGAACAGCACTAACTTTAACTGCATGGCTGCATACATGACATCAAGCATTAACATGCATACTGCTCAGTAAAGCCCTTGAAAATTATATTGCATGTTTAATTGTCCTATACATATTTGCATGATCATGACATCAAATACTAACATGCAGGCTGTTAATACCAATTGATTTTTTAAATAATTTGCATGTCCTAGTTTTTAAAATAACGCTAGCTATAAATTATTAAAATAACTTTATTTGAACCTTTTATTCATTTTTGTTTTTAGCCAATACTAGATTCCAAGGTGAGACAAACAATTCTTTTTGCTAAAATAATCAATAATAATATATTAAAGTTAATTTGATAAAATAATTTGAATATATGGTCTTTTTTTTATATATATTTAATTTGATTTAATTTAATTTAATTTTTTCTTTTTCTTTTTTTGAATATATGGTCATAAGACCTTATTAATTTTTTTATTACCACGGGCATATCAAGATACTATTAACGGAAGCGACAACAGACTATACAGTCAGTCAAAAATATCAACAACAACAACAACAACAATAACTTTATTGTGCCCAAAGAAAGTAAATTAAGTACAAAAAAAAAATTATTTGGTATATCAGTTGATGAGAGCACAGACGTTTAGAAATAGCTTTAGAAACTAATCGAGCTAAATGTCTGGGCCATGMGGAGTAATTACAAGAAAAAATAGTCAGTTCAGTATTTTCATGGACAGGTACAAGTCAGATACAGACRAACCAGACACATGTACAGACGAATCAGACAAACACTGAGCACAAAACAAAATGGGTGGAAGCTGAATTATCGATATTAATAATATTCTGTGTTCTCATCGACTGCATGGAGCAGAGTAAAATGAGTAATATCGTACCAAGAGAGCATAAATAAGAGGGAAACTTCATAATAACGCGTGCGCAACGTATATTCCCGGTTGGACTATTTTTAGTAATCGGATGCAGTTTAATTTGGCCTTACCCTACTCCCGTGCGTCATCAACTTGCGCACGYGCTCTTTCCKTTTATTGTTTTAATGGTGTTTTGAACACGGACTTACTTCATCATATATCTTGTTTATAGGGTCAGGTYCTCCAATAGACAAACCATGTGTTGTTCGTACAGTCCAGGGGCCTTGCTGCTCTTTTCCATATATTTACAATGGAAAAGTATACTCTCGATGCATTACAAATTTTCATCATAGACCTTGGTGTTCGTTGACATCAAACTATGACCAGGATCATTCTTGGGGCGACTGCTTGATTTTAGGTTCATATAGACGCCGAAAAGGTATTGGCAGCAACACTCTACATTCGTAGACTATCAAATGACATCCAACACTTACTAAAAGGCTTTTATATTCACAGTTCAAAAATCGAAGGAATGCAAACAGAAGACAACAAACGGAGAATGTTGCTTTTTTCCCTTCATGTACCGGGGAAAGAAGTATTCCACATGTGTCTCATTCAAACACGACAGGCCTTGGTGTTCTTTGACGTCCAACTACGATAACGACACACGTAGCTGGGGAAACTGTRCGGGATATTGTGAGTTATTTAATTATTTATAATAACTTCGCTATCTAGCTTATTATGCTTACATTAAACTGCTCCCGCTAAATTGACCTTTCTAATGGAACCTTCTGAAAATTATCATCTTGAATGCATCATGAAAAGAGAAAAGAAATCACACTTTTTATCGATTGAATTTGTGGCAATTCTTTTGTATTTTCATGTTAGCCTCAGATAATTTTGGCGAGCGTCCAATCAATAGCTACGCTTGCTTTAAATAGATTTKTTTTCAGTGAGGCCTTGCATCTCTCCACGGTCATCCCTTGGGTTCTATAAGCTCTCTCGCTCCAGTGCTTCTCGCGATCGTCTCAGATCATTGACAAAAAAAAGGGGGGGGGAGGGGGGGAATCGTGTCCTTTTAAATAAGAAATTGCTTCATAAAAAAAAAAAAAAAAATTGATTTGGTTTCAGCCAACCCAGATAACTGTACAGCTGTCTATCAGGAACAAAAGAGTTTACCTTGGATTGACTTCTCCAGCAACGATTCCAGCGTCTTCTGGTCATCAAACCAATACCAAAACACTCGAAATGAAGAACGTTTCTCACCCAGACAACTACAAGGTAGGGTTGTCTAATATTACCAATAGAACCTTTGAAAMRCGTCRGAATGCAGTTTAATTTGGAGGACAKAACAATGGGTTTCCAATTCTTAGGAGATGAATTTCTTTTGTTAATTTTGTCCTCCAAATCGTCCTGCATTGACGTCACAAGTGATAAATCTTTTCTTCTGTGAAGTTAACCAACATGGCTGATATGATGAAGACATATCAAATCAGCAAATGAGAGCCTCAGTCTCGATGCAAAGCTAAWTTATTGACCTTTTTTTATCTCCAGATTTTATCAAAGCTGGTCTTTTCGAAGTTTCCTTCAATTCATCATTTCAAGGAGTATCAGTTCAAACGCTGCCTGATTTGAGCTCATTCACGACTTGTGTGTGGATTAAGACAAATTTACGACTTAACAGAGGTGCAATTTTCCATTACGATTTTAATCTTAATAAAGATAGCAGTGTAACKGGATTTGGGTTGTTCCACGAAAAAACGCTTCGTGTCAGCATTATGGCGTACAATAGGTAAGCATGYTATAAAATTATTACCATCGTTAACCGCTACTGTATATAGACCACTCTTTGCATGTGACGTCAGTCAACGGAGTTCAGTTTGGAGGAGAAAACAAAAGAACTTCAATATCATGCTGCAATATCATGCTGCAAGGGTACTGTTGACGGTTTCTTTCCTTCTCGTGCCCAGGTCATTGCCACATTACAATCATTGTTACGATCTTGTCTGAGAATATGGCCAACTAGTTTCCATCTCAGAAATTCCACCTCTTCGCTCAGTGGCTTCATGCCAGCTCTCTCTGTAGCAACTTATTTTTACTGACGTGAACTTGGCACCGGATACGGAGAATCCTTCTCAGACACTTTTTGTTGTTAAACAGTCACGTTAACTGTTGTAATGTGCGCAAACAAATAATTATTATCGCATCTGAAGTAATGTGCAATCAAAGAATATCAAAATTGGATCACCGCTTAGAGATAACAATACATGCTTTCCACGATTGTTTTATAGAACCACCACCACGTCTGCTAATGATGGCCAATGGCATCACCTGTGTCTCGTATGGAACTCTAAAGGGGGCGTTTATCAACTCTACAAAGACGGTATATTTGTGGAACAACGGCACGGCCTTCATCAATTTAAAAAGATACCAGGTAAAAGATATATGCTAGATTTATAATTAAGGGATCAAGTCGGCTATGAAAGTGTTCTTGTGAGATATCTTCTTGTACCATGCGACTTTGATCCTTTAGAAATTTTGTGCCGAAATTCATTAGCTATAGCACTAACTATATTCGAGGCTAAGAATATTTCTTTGCCCATTGCTTGGAAGTGTTTATAAATTCCGTTCGTTAAATTTCATTACAACCATACGCTGGAAGTGTTTATAAATTGGTTTCGTTAAATTTTATATTACAACCATACGCTTATTACGCTTATACGAGCGTCTCCTCAAGTTTGCCATACACGCCTTAGTCAAGGTACAGAAATATTTATCAATAATCTATTTTAATGATTTTGAAGGTCATTCAAAATATTACTTATGAGGTTATTTTAAAAAAGACTAAGCAATTCCCCATCACCCCATCTAGGGTTAGGTACTTCAGTTATCGGTGGGGACGGTTTCCAAGGAAGCATGAGGTCATTCATAATTTTACTTATGAGGTTATTTTAAAGTCTTAAAAGACTAAGCAATTCC